TATTAACGTGACAAGTGTAACAAGTTAAATACATCAGATGATTCTCAAATGACATAATTAATGTAGCTTATGTGACATATTCCTATTAATGATCTTTTATTATGTGTGAACAGCAAAATAATGTTAGATAAGCAATGAAAAAATCCAATCGGCAGCAGCTTTCCTGAGGGTTTTGGCTCCAGCTTTATGTACACAGTGTTATCTGATACTAATCCTTGGATTTTAAAGAACAGAAATCACTTCAGAATTGTAAACAAACATGTTCCTATGAGATGAACACTTTAATTACTATCATTTCTGCAAATACAAGATAAAAATAATGTGCTGCATGATAGCCTCTTAATGCAAAAACAGAGGAAAGTATATTTTGCCAGGCCAATAAAGTTACATTAATAAACGTCCATGACACTGGATCAGGAGCTTGGTCCAGAGAGCCTAGCAGTATGTCTTAGCAATGACTGCCATGGAGACTTTGTAGAAAGAGTGACTGTCTCTTCACTGATGTTGTCTACAAAAGATTAGAAGTGAGTGCCAAAATATTCTGGTTTTCTTTAATAACCCACTACAGTCGAATATCTATGAATCAACTGAAATGTTTTGAACCTTTTTACATTTAAAGTTCATACCACCTCTTAGAATAATAAAGTACAAGTTTTACAAAGTAATAGCTCTTAGTTACTTTTTACATCAAATTAACATTTATTGAGCAACTATATTATCCTTGGCACCAGAAAAGAAGTATGGGATATGGTTCCTGAACTCAAGAAGCTTCAAGTGTAATTGAGAGGTCAGATACGTGCATAAAGAGATTTTTTTTAATTTACCATCAATAAAAGACAATCAGCCTAAAGGAGCACAGATTCTAAAGTGTCTGAGAACTCAGAAGCAGATAAAATCACTGTTTCTTCAAGAAGAGAAGGGAAGAAGAACACGTTGGTGCTGAAATCCAGAAGTGAGGGAGCAAAGCTATGGCTGACCTTCATGTATGGGGATCATCCCAGCCTTGAGGCTTCATCTTTCTTGGATAAAGAATACTGGTCATCAAAATTCCAAAGTATCATGGTGAAGAACACATGTCTTGAAGTCAGTCAGTCTTGGTCCAATCCTAGCTTTGACGCTGTCATGCTGTGAAACTCTGGATAAGTCATTTCACCTCTCTAAACCTGTTTCCTTAGAATTTCACCTCTCATTTCACCTCTCTAAACCTGTTTTCTTATCTGTAAAATGCAAAGTACAACTGGACAAGAATTAAACGAATGCATATAGAGCAAGTAGAGATGCCTAAACGAGAGCAGGTGATTTAAAAATGGTAGCTGCTATTTGCATATTAAATACCAGTCTTACCATGATGAGATCAAAACTGCACAAAATCTCACCTTCTAGGGGAAATACAAGGCTCTTGCTTAGAGGCCCACTGTGCTCTGGAAGACTGGGTCCTAAGCTCCTCACTGGTCTTGGGGGTGGAGCATGATTAACCATGTTCTCTGGTGGTTTCTTTGTGGCAGGGTAGCAGAGCCTAATTGAATACTCCAGAGCCCACATCTTGAATTTTAGTATTTAGTTTTACCCAGCAAGTAAGCAGAGAACAGAAGAGTGAAGAGCCGCCCTTCAGTCATGTACACCAGCTGCATGCTCAGTTATAAACAAAGAAACCTAGAACCTACAGTCATTCTCTCACAGTGAGCCCAGAATTTACTGAAGCCAGCGATAGCAGTGGCTGATAGGATACCACGACAGCAAGTTACCGATCAGTCGTAGTCATGAAGCCCATCTACAAGACAAATGCTGACCGGGGCATCATTCCATGGGTGATTTCCTAGCTTTATTAAAATCACATCAATGCAGTATCACTTTTCATCTGTAGTGTAAATGGTTTTTATGAAACAGTTTGGCAAAACACATGGCATGTGACTGTACCACTACAAATGTGTTAGCAGACCCATCCAGAAACATGGCAATGATCTGATCATGTGAGTAGTCCTGCAAGAGTAAGAAAATAAACCTAATATTTGTAAAGACTTACTGGTGCCCTGCTGGAGTTGAATATTGAGTCTTTTCCAAAGACACTTCCATTTCCAATGCAGAAGAAGCAAGAATTGTTCTCAAACCACCACCAAATAATCACGCAGTATTTGACAGCTCATCTTATTTTTTAATCTTCTATGAACTCTGCAGAATTATACCTGGTCCTTATAACATGAAGATTTTGGATTATGAATACAGTGAATAAATACAACCTTCTGGTATAGCAATTTAAGCATCATGGAGTGAGTAAACACTGCAGAGTGAATCCTAACACTTGAAACAGAATCTTCCAGAGTCCAGAAATCCACCTGACTGCCAAGAATAATACTTGCGTGGTTCAAGCAATACCAGTACCCAGAGGGGCTTCCAGAGACACAAACCACATGAATTACTGCATATTGGGTAAAATAGAAAAAACAGACATTTATGAGTATATAGTTTGCAGACATCTTAAAAGTACTCATAAATATGCAATTTACAAATACAGACAGAATACGGGAGGCTTTAGGAATACACAGCATCTATGTTTAAAGTGCTTAATTATATTTTCTTCTACAGGTTTTCCTCATCCTAACTGATTTTTATTGGGGATAGATGGGGGAGATACATGGCTCTCTAACACGAAACCAGTCTCACTGAAAGAAGCTCTATGGTGGGAACTAATATATATGAGATTCTGATTTCAGGATAAGGTAGAAATTAAATTACTTAGTGTCAGAGATCAAAACTGTATCAATTAGATATCAAAGAAAACCTTTCAATTCACCAGGCTACACGAAAGCAAGGTTTGTTAGATCCTCTAGCTATAAACCAAATGTACTGTCTTCTTCTATGCTCCTCACACATGATTTCTATTTCATCTCTGATGTAAAACACGGTACCCCACATCATGCCACAAAGAAAGAGTCAGTTTAGCTAGTTCAAGTAAAACACCGGGCAGCTGCTAACAGAAACAGGTCACGGCTGGGGAGGGGCACAGCACATTCAGTTCGCTATGCTTCCCTCCAGAAGAATGTCAATAAAAACCACGGCCAAATGAGGTATTTGAAGGGAAAGAAAAGAACAAGTCCTGCTATGCAGTGAACCACTGGGTTCACCCAACAGCGCCAGTCAGACAAGTTGGCAAAAGGGAGCCCCAGCCAAACCTACAGCCAACAACTTGAAGAAATGTATCTTCCTCAACGTCCTGGGGTAGGAACCAGTCCCGCGTTTACAAACGCTGTTTCTGGGGCCAATAGCAATTTATTTTGATAGAACCACTGGATTTTTTTTTTCTTGAGTTCTCAACAAAGGAGCCATATTAGGAAATAATCTCGCAAAAAGCAAAGTGCCCCCTCCCCCCTTCCCCACGACTGATGCACACACACCCGTGCACGCTGACACGCAGAGACACAGCCGTGCACAATGGCTGGCGCGCGCCCTCGCGCGGGTCCGCGCGGCCGCCCGGGAGCCCTGCGGGCGGAAGGCCCGGCTCCAGCCCGGCCCCAAGCGCCGGGGCAGGAGGCCCCGAGGCCGGCCGCCCGGGAACCAGCTGCTGGGCGGTTGTGCTGGGGAGGCTCGCCCCCCAGCGGGGCCCCGGGGAAGCGGCTGCCAGCGTCCGGGAGCCTGTTAACCCCTTAGGGAAGGAGGTGCTTGCTGCGGGGCCACCGGATGGGTGAGGGATGCGACCCCAAATGGCCCCCCCCGGAGACGGGGCGCCACCGAGTCCTTGGACACCGGCAGCTCTTGGCTAGGTCCTGCAGAGCTCATCCTGTCGCCGGCTCCACAGGGCTCCTAAAGCAAACGGGGTGTTTCTGGGCTGTCACCCCTGCGAGTCCAGGCATACCAAGAGGGAAGAACTTCCGAGGGCAGCGGGCGCAGACCAGGCTTGGTAACTCAGCCCTCGGGGGCTGGCGCAAGTCCCCAAGGGGACGCAGCCGCTTGGACTGGACGGCCCCGCAAACGACGGAGGGACCCGAGCGCAGCCGCCCCCTGTCACCCTTCCCCGGGGAGCGCGTCGGGGCCCCGTCCCCGCTCCGGGACACTTACCTTCTTCCGGGGCTGCCATTTCATCATATTTGTACAGCCGGTAGGTGGAACATCAAGATGCTGGCCGGGGGCTGGGGGCGGACGCAGGGCAGCGGCGACCGCAAGTCATGCTGCCTCCCTCCCGCCCGCTAATTCGTTCCCATATGCACCGCGAAGGGAAAAAGCCCAGGAGAGGCCAGTCTTTTCGCCTTCAGTTCAATGAAAAGTATCCCCAAACCACGAACACACTTCCCGCCGGGCTAGGAAGTCCGAGCATCCAGCGGCGAGCTCCGGCCAGAGCGGGGCATTTTCCCCCCAGGCCAGCGCCCGCAAAAGGAGCCTGCGGCAGGGGGTCTCAGCCCGCGGCGGGGACCCTCCCTCACGGCAGAGGCTGAGAACGCAGGCTGCTGCAGAAGCCCAGCCGGGTTCCTGCCATCCAAACCCCTTGGGTGAATTCTCTTCTCAAAAAAAAAAAGATCAGACAAGCAATCAAACCCTCACGCGCAGCCTGGAGCAATTGCCAAAATTCTGGGTGTATTTCTCGTTTGTAAAATTTAGCAAAGAAAATTCCAAAGATCTGTAATCAGAGCTTCTTTACGCTGTTTTCTCTTCCTTCTTGGATAACTTGGGGAGAGGAGCTGCTCTTCCCCAAATGCCTACCTTCCCTGAACACTGTAAATAGGAAAACTTGGTTTGTGTGTTTAGATTTTTTTTTTTTTTTTAATTCCCAAGAACCTTCGTGGGGAAAGGCTGGAAGGAAATCCTGCAAGAACCCAACTCCGCAGCTCAGTCTGCACTAATGACTTCCTTCCCTTCAGCGCGAGCGCAGCCTGCCCGGCTCCAGCCACACAGAACAGTTTCTGGGTCTTAGTGCCACGACATCTGCTCCGAAGCAAAAAGTAAAGCTCGGTTTCAGAGGCACCCAACAGCTCCTGAAGAATCGGGGCCAGAGGGACCAATAAAATCAGGAAACCCTTTCAAAGGACTCCTTAGGTTTGTGAGTTACATCAAGAGGGAAAAAAAAGAATTAAAAAGGGCTCTAGACAAAAAGACTACACGATCGTAATGTGTGATTTGAAGAAAAAAGTTTGAGGTAGGTATCTGACAAGAAAAAAAAATTAATCCAGAATAGACGCTGCTTCTCTAAATTCAGCACTAATTTTTTTACTATAAAAAATATTGCTATGGATATTTCATTCATCTTCTGTAAATGACTTCATCCTATTGAAGGAGTTGTATCTCCAAACACAAAATTCTATGTAATTCTACTATGTTTCATCCAACATGTCTATGGATTCCTATCCCACCATGAGTCTATTTTGATAGATGGACATATAAAGGGTAGCATGAGCTACTAGAATGGTAAGTGATGCACTATGAGTGCAATGTTCCAACAATGTTTAACTAATTACTCCCAGAGTTTTATATGTTTTGGAGGATGGGCTGATGTGGGTGATTATATGTAGATAGGACAGTAACTGTACCAGATTGTAAATGTCATACAATACCCAAAACAGTTCACTGAAACAGGCTACTTTTGAGATCTTTTCTAAGCCTAAGAGTCTGAAATTCAATGATGAAGGCATTATGCTTTTAATAATAATAATTTAATAATTGTAGCTGAGTGAATAGGTACTATTTCTGAAGCTACTGCTCTATTCCAGCACCTATGCTTACATCATTATCTCACAGCTCTTCAACGAAGGTCTTATTGTTCCGTTTTCCAGAAATGGACACCGAGATTCAGGGAGGTCCCTTGCTCAACCAAGACCGCAACGGACAGCAGGTGGTGGGCCTGGAATTCAGACCCATGATGGCCTGCCTCCAGAGCCTATACCCTTTCCATGATGTGCATCAGTCTTACCTCTGATCTTGATAAAACTATTAAGAGCCTATGAATTAAGTACCTATTATTTGCCAGTCCCTGTTCCAGGCACTAGAAATATTAAGAAACTGTCTCTGCTCTTGAAATTACATACAGCAGCAGCATCACAAACAATGCCAATACTCTGTATGTTCTAACATATCCACATCATTCTGCCCAGCTTGACTTATATTTCCTACAGCATGGAAAGGTCAGTAAAGTGAAACCAAATTCATCCACCCCAAAATCAGTTTCTCTTCCCAGCTTTCCTTTATCTGTCCTTAGCACTGTTATTCTTCCATGATCACAAACCTAAAATTTAACATCATTCCTTACATCTGTCACCAAGTTGTTTCACTTCTTTCTTAGACATCACTTCCAAATTCCTACTGCTGACTTCTGAGGCCAGAGCCTCACAAAATAAACATATATTGAGTACCAACTAGGTGCAAGCACCATGTAGGACAGAAAGGTATAACTCAGTCCCCATGCTAGAGGAAGTTACAAAGAAATTAGGACAGAAGAGAAGACCTACAAGAAGACAACCAGGCATTGCCTTAGTTGGTTAGGCGACAAATGAGTTACGTGATCAGTAAGTGTTCCAGGAGTTAGAAGGAGAAATCACTGTAAACAGAGATGGTCAAGGAAGGTTTCATAAAGGAATGTGAAGTAAAACTTCAGAGGAGATTACACCTCATTCTGCAGCCAAGGCCAAGGTGCTTACCAAGGCCAGTAACACCCTCAGCGTCCGGACACCTCTACCTTCCGCAGCTCATCTCTCACCCTTCTCCCACTCCCCTTCTCAGCCCCTGCCATCCTGGCCAGCACACTGTTCCTTAAACATGTCAAGCACATGCTTCCTGCACCCTCCGCCTGCATTGCTCCTCCTCCAGGGAGCCCCGTGGCGCACCCCCTCAGCTCCCCCTCTGTCCAAATGCCATATTAGACAGGCTGTCGGGCACCACCCCTTCTAAGATAATAGCACCACGACCCACATGATGTTAGTTTCCATCTTCCTTACCCGCTACATTTTACTTCATAGCCCTTATGATACATATTTTATTTATTTAATGTCTTATTCATCCCAAAAAAACATAAATCCAAATGGAGCAAGGACTTTGTTGTATCACTAACATCCCATGAACAGTGCCTGACACAACAAGCAATCAACAAATATTTGTTGAATGAAACAATAAAAGAGAGAAAATAAGGCGAATAGTATGAGCGAAAGAGGCAAGCATATGTAAGGTGTATTCAAGATGCAGAATACTGACCTGCCTGAACTATAAGGCTTAAGTATGAAAATGTCAGAGGCCGAGCCTTTGTCTTGTTCAGTCTTGTGATACCCAGTGCCCAGAAGAGTGCCTGGCACAGCAGAGGTGCTCAATATTTAGGGGATAAAAGAATGAATGGTCGGAGCAGAGGATGAATGGCAAATGAGTGAAATTCCATTCTATTCTATACAAAGTAAAAGATACTTTGTCAAGGTATCTTGGAACCAAATGGTAGGGAACATTTAAGGCAAAGAAATTTGGACTTCAACCTGTAGAACACAAGGTATTGAAGGTACTAATAGGAGGCAAAGGGCATTTTTAAGCAAGCTAAGATAAAGCAAAATATTAACTATGACTTTATGAGGCTGTTTTTCATAAAAGCATTTAGATTTTTTTAACTATGTGCATGATTAAAATGATTATGACCATTTGACAGATTTTAAAACTGAAATGCACAGAGCATATGTGACCTGCTAAATGCCATACAAGTCAAGGGCGATGGAAGAGCTAAAACCCAGGGTTTATAAACCGATGCCTGACTGACAGGGGCAGGAAACTACAACTGCCTAGGGGTCAAGAGAAAAGTCTGCACTTTCTATGCTCCCTCTAACTTGCTTTATAACAAAACTTTCAAGTTTTAAGGCAAAGCAGGTGACATGAATAAGTGAAACAGAGTCAGGTATAAGACAAAAGGGAATTATGAGGACTATAAACCTGGAGATTATGAATCACTGAAAAGAGGTAACTGTTGTGTAACTTGTCGATTGACGTCATGCAATAATATCAGTCCAACGGTTCAGATCCTCTAAATTTTCATGAGAAGCTAAAAATTTCCTGATTTTTAACTGTTCGCTCAAAAAATTTATTTACTTTAAAGCATCTTTGCAGGCCAAACAAAACATGCTGGTAGGTCTAAATTCCATCTGTAAGTCATAATTTGTGACTGCTGACTTAACCCACTCAAGGCTGCACTTTCCCATATGTAAATTAAGGGACCTACGTGGTTCCTAATCTGTGGGGTGGTTTTCCAAAGGCATCTGTGAATCCATATGCATACCATGCATGGTCTGTGGACTGAAGAGCAATTTCCCATGCTCAGATGTTGTAGGACTTAATAAAAGACAAATTTATTTAAATTGGGGAATTGGGATCTGAAAACAGTGGGTTATATTAGGAAAGGAGATAGAATAAATATGTTTCCATAGAAAGACAGAATCAAATCAATCTAAAAATTTTAAGTGATATAGAATTTAAAGTGGTTTTCAATTTTTTAGGTATTTGTGTTACTTATTTGTATGGCATTTCTTTCCTTGCTGTCTGGTAAGTGTTTTAGCTTTCATTGAATAGGTACCACTCGAAAGAGGGTGATTACCTAGAAGCTTTTAAATACCAATATTAGTTTAAATTACCTTATTTTTTTTCTTCTGTCTTTACTTATTTATTTTGCTTAACCCAAATTGAATCAGTAATTATATCTGAAATATTTATAGAATTACTGTTATACCAATATACTTTCTCCATTAGGAATTATTTATATAGAGCAACCAAGCTAACACAGTTCAAAATATTATAATTTATCTTACTGTTTCAAAGATCCAATATCAAACAATACGAACACAATTTCTCAGACCCCAGGCTACTGAAAGGCATTTTTATAATGCCTTTATTTTTTAACAGAGCACTTTGCAAATCACTTTCCTAAAAGCTGATACTGTAAAACAGTCTATGAAAATGGTATTTTCCTCAATAACTACTTGTCTACTTAAATCTGAACAAAAGCAAGAAAGAAGAAATGAATG